TTAGCATGCCAAAGGTCCCAAGGTCTACTGTAGGGCACCTAGATGAGGGCCGGCGGGGGCCGAGGGGGGGCAATTACTCTCCCCACTAATTCTTTTTATCCCTTTCAAAGGGCCGGGTGATTAGAAGAGGAAAGTTTAGATTTCCTGAACTTGAAGTGGAAACGCAAAAGTGACAGACGAAGCTCAGGGCCCAATCCACATCAGAGAGGGCTGGGCCTGTGTGTGTTTGTGAGTGTGGGTGTGGATGTGTGTGTGTGTGTGTGTGTGGGTTGGGGACTCCTTGGTCTTGACTGGAAGGTTCACTACAAACTGAAGGGGGATAGTGGGTGTCTCACTTGCAGCTCTTTACCTGTCTTAACCAACACAGAAGATAACAGGATAACACTGAATTAAAACAGATACACACTGTAAACTAATGATTGTTGAAATGCTGTGTGATTTATTAGAGATTTCTCAAACTCTTAAGTACTTATTAACTTTCTCTGTAGTACGTCAGATATAACTTTTTCATATAAACCTGAGAAACTTAGTACTTGTAAAAAAATAGAGAAAGTTAATTTATATTTTTAACCCTTTGATGCCTTTTGTATCATATTTGATACATACTTCTATCAAATTGATATGATCAACAAATAACTAAAAAAAAAACCTGAACACAGTCCGATAAATGTCCTCTTGTAGTTTATCAGTTTATAAAAACATCTAATGTATCAAACGAGATAAATTAATACATTTGTTAAATTTTATGGACATTTTGATTTTTTTTTTTTTGTTTTCAGTCGGAAGTGAAATAAAAATTTCTGCTCAAAAATTTTTCAAAATTTTTTGGCCGTAGTTTTTGGTGTCAGTCATTAAAGGGCTGCAAAAATCTCAGTCACTAAAAATATTTGAGTAAGTTTGCAGCAGCAGTCTTACTGGACTGGTATAGAAAAGGTAAAGGTGTTAATCTGAGGTGATGACTGTCTCAAAAACTGTTTCAACATGGGACTAAATGAAACTTAAAAATTAGTGTCATGTTGAGGAGCGAGGTTTTAAACCATCTGCACAGAAACCATTTTAATTCTACACTCCCCTTTAAAAGAGTTAATTAGTTACCATGATGTTATTGTTGCTGTTTCAAATTCTTTCTGATAATATTATTACTAATGCCAACAATTTACATTGGCTAATCAAGTAATGTATTTGTTTTATCACTTTAAGTTCCCCTCATTGCTAACATGAGCACAAAGTACCATCTCCTTTTTTACATGTTTTTTTTTTTAAGTGTTCAGTATTTTCTTTTAGAGTCAGTAATTAACAAAAATGTGCTCTTAAAACTTTTTTTCAAGAATCATTTTTTAGAGGATTCAAGAGGTGAGAGAGAAGAGCTTGTTTCCATGCCTGGATATAAATCTTTATTTTTTTTATGAATCTCGCACAAAATTGAGTTTCAGAAAATTTGGATAAAACAGATAACAAAATTATTTCAAAGAGGAGTCACGTAAAAGATTGCAGACAACTGAATTGATCTTAAGTGGTATTACATGTTTGATCAGTCTTATGAGATGTTTTGTCAAAGTTTTTATTATGTTTACAAAATCTTTCTGACAATTTTTGGTCCTTGCCAGTAAAAGTATGAATTTATGTGTTTTTCTGAATAGTAAAAAAAAAACATATAATCCCTGAAAAAGTGTCTCTCTGTGTGTGTTCTTACCTGTCCTCCAGTGTGTGTATGTGTCTGTGTGTGTTTTCTTCCCAGGCCTGACTCATCCGCCTCACTGTGTTTACTCATTTAGGGCAGCAGAGTCCTCTGGAAAATATGCATCGTTATAACTGTCCCTTTGTGAAGCACCAGACCTCTGTAATATTTCTCACCTAGGTGAGTGTGTGCCCATGCCAGAGCGCAGCCTGCAGCCCTTAACCCTCAGCTTGCCAGCAAAACTATGTGTGTGCGTGTGTGTGTGTGTGTGTGTGTGTGTGTGTGTGTGTGAGTGTGTGTGTATGTGTGCGTGAGAGGAGAAAATCTGTGGGAAACCTCTGCTGGCTTTTCATGTAAACTTCATATTTTCAGTGCAGACATTCGCTCACTGTGTGGGACGGACATGCTCCTCCTTCAGCTCATTTTAGCCTCTGCCTGTCAATCAAACTGCGAGGATGTTATGTGCTTTAATATCTTCTCTAGGCAACACCTGACAACCACAACACACTGCTGGAGCCCAGTCAGCAAAGTGTTTTGTTGCTGCAGCTAAGGACGACTCATTCCTGACTTATAAATTAAATCTTATTTTGGAGGGGATGAGGCAGCTTTCCGTCAGGGGTCAGCACAGCCTGCAGGGTCTGGTCTGATCTAACCTGCGGGGGTTTGGGCTCTGTATGCAACCTCTTTTTTTTTAACACTCTCTGTCTCTAAAATTGAAAAAGTTAAGAGAGGAGGAAAAGGAAGAGGCCGCTGAATGATACGGGATGGAAAGGTGTGAGAGGACCTCTTTACATTTACGGCCTCTGTGGAACTGGAGGAAGTGGTGCAGTAAAGTCACGCTCCAAAGCCCTCACTCAATTCCAAGTACATCACAGAGAGAGAAAGAGAGAGAGGGAGAGAGAGGGGGCCGCAGCGGCAGGAACAAAACAACAAAACAACAAGGCTCAGATCTGTAAGGTCCAGATGAGCGTGTGACAATAAATACTGTAAGTCAGGTAGAATCGAAACAGTTCATGTTGAATATGCAGCAGATTCAGGTATCAAAGTTAAAGCCGAGCCAGAATCAAGAATCAGCACTCAACAAAAAATGGCAAAGTAGTTTTCAATAAAAGAAAATGAAATAGGAAAAAATTAGATACTCCACATGTTATTCTTTAAAACGTTTTAATTTTTTGTTCCTTGTTGTTATAATTAAAACTTTCTATTTAATCCTTGTGTTTTTGGAACAGTGTGTTTTATGTGAGGCTAAGAAATTGCTCCAATTTGTCATGTTACACAGTGAAAAATCCTTCGGTTTTCTTTTAACTAATGTTGTTTAACAAAGCTAAAAAGAGCTAGAAACAGTAATGTAGTAATGTTAAGTGATATCTTTCAGATTCCAGGTTAAACCCATTCTCTCTGCCCGACTGTCAGCAAAGTGATGATGGACTTAGAGGACAAGAAGCTACATGATGCATGATAAGTCTGATACTCTATTTGTCAAACTTTTACCTGAAAAAGAATACAAATTAGTTTCAATGCAAATTATTTTCACACACAACAACAACCTCTGTCATCTTCTTCATCCTGTAACTTGTTGTTACAAATGCATGTGTCAGCAGTGTTTGTACCAAGAGGCAGAGATGGAGATGGGTGAGTACTTTCCATAAGGTTGGGTAGTTTGTTCATTGGTAATACAATTATTTTTTACTTTTTTCAAAAATTAAAAGATAAATAATGAATCTGATTTCAAAAGAAAATGTTTTGAAATATCAAAATTAAATGTAGATGAATTTACAGGAGATGGAACAAAGGCAGGAATAAAACTATAACAAAAAAAGGTTCAAATTAAGAATAAACATATCTGACATGAAATGTTCAATATTTTTTGACACTCTTTTTTATTGCGCTCTACTTCAGATTAATAATACCAATGCACAGAAAAAGATCAAGTTTTAAGGAGGTCTAGGTAAAGCTAATTTTCTTACTCTTTGCTTCTTTATGTGTAATTTCTAATCTTGGATCTCAAACATAAACTCATTATTATTGTTTCCGATTTTTTATAAAATCTGCAACTTTTTCTCTTTGTCAAGGGTTATTATAGTATTTTCTTATCTGTGTTAATGTTTATTGTGTGTGTTTTTCATCTTCTGTCGAGCACATTGTACGGTATTATCTTGCATTTAATGTTGCTCAATGTTATTGTTCACAATTGTCGTCAAATAATTTGTCTATTTCCCTTTTTTTTTCTTGTGTTAATATTTTCTAGTTTTACATATATTCCAGTTTAAAAAGAAATAGGGGAAATGACCAGAAAACGAGCTTTAAAATGTTACTTGTTTACATTATCTAAATAATTTCATACTTTTAACATGAAATACTCACTAACTTTCACAGAGGGACCGAACACAAGGAGCCTACCGAGGAGTTCTTTCTTTTGCTCACTAATGGACACAAAAACAAGATTGTGAGCATGAACTTCCTCTGTAGTTTGAACAAGTAAGAATTCATACTTTAAGCCCTATATGTCGCCAACATCAAGAAATGACAAAGAGGTGGAGAAACATCTCCAAATGTTTCTATTCAGGTTGTGGAAATAGTCTCTGCTAAGCACTTGCGCTCCAACCGGCTAAAATATTCAATATCAGAGGGCTTCAGCTGGGGGAGTCCTGAAGGCCCATTATGTAAATCCAGGCATCACTTGTGGGCCTTCCACACTCGGGCACAACAGGAACACAGAGTCAGGCCTAATGGCCCATCCTCAGTAAACACAGGCCCTCTCCCATGTGGATTTGAGACAACAAAAGATTAACACTATTTGCAAATATACAACTGAGTTCAAAGGCGCTGCTCTCTCCTCTTGCTTCCCTTCTTTTGTTTGAACACACAGCTCTGAATGTGTAGCTGCTTAAACTCTGAGAGATTTAAAAGACTATCAGGGATCAAAACATCAACCCAACACTTCACTGTAGAAGCAGAGTCAGTTTGTTAACTTTCTTAAAATCACAATATTTGGGTTTTATTGATCCAATTTGTTAAAAAAAATAAAAAATAAAATTAACCAAGGAGGCAATATCTTATCTTCTGAATTCTTTTAGTGATTTTGTATAAGGAGAGTCTCAATCTAGAGTGGGGGGCTGCGTTTGCAGACGCTGAAAGCTGTACAGAGACGTCGAGACGTCCTAGCGCAAACCACGCCCCGAATCCCCATGAGGTCCCTGGGGGCCCTTAAATGACGAGGCCTCAGGGTTTGGAAACCAGAATCACTCGGGCCTTCTAGAGTCAGTGAACTCTCCGTGTACCAAACGTCCTGGATTTAGATCTATCCACACAGCTGGGAAATATGACTTCTTCTAACCCCGACCAGCGCCTGGAGCATCTCCTGAGCGCCGTGGAGAGCGAGTTTCAGAAAGGCAGCGAGAAGGGAGACGCATCCGAGCGGGATATTAAACTGACGCTGGACGACGCAGAATTATGGAACAAGTTTAAAGAATTGACCAACGAGATGATAGTCACCAAAACTGGAAGGTAGGTTTCAGAAGGAAATATCCAGATAATGCCTTTCACTGTGCGTAAAAAGCGCAGGCCCGGATGCGCCTTTTACGCACAGGGGTTTCCAACGCGTAACGTTAAATTCGTGTTGATGTTCTTAATTTTAAAAAGCAAGAAAGACGGTTTTTATTCCATATAGAACATATACAGTGCTGTGCTAATAAATAGTGCTGCGTAGTGCGGCCTTGGGGCCCAGGAGGTAAGAAGAAAGGTCAAGTTGTGAAGTGTTTTAAAACATTTTCCTAAAAAGACCATCCTTCTTGTTTTTCAGGAGGATGTTCCCGGTGCTCAGGGCCAGCGTAACCGGCCTCGACCCCAACGCCATGTACTCGGTGCTGCTGGATTTCGTGGCCGCTGACAACAACCGGTGGAAATACGTGAACGGGGAGTGGGTCCCCGGCGGCAAACCGGAGCCTCAGAGCCCTAGCTGCGTGTACATCCACCCGGATTCTCCAAACTTCGGAGCGCACTGGATGAAAGCCCCCGTCTCCTTCAGCAAAGTGAAACTCTCCAACAAACTCAACGGAGGTGGACAGGTGAGAAGAAAATAATGTTATCATAAAAAATATTTCTATTTTTAGAATTTTGAAATGCTATGGATTGAAAAACAGGCCTGGAAAATAATACAACAAAGTCTCCCAAAACATCTTGACCTGTTTAATATCATGCCTTTAAAGATCTAAGCCTGTTTTAGATATTTAAAGGTTTTCACTTGGCTTAAATGAATTATCTACTAAAGTTTTTAATTGTTTTTTGGATGATAAAGAAATAATATATCTTGTTTTTCTCCATAGATCATGCTGAATTCTCTGCACAAATATGAGCCAAGGATACACATCGTGAAAGTGGGAGGCATCCAGAAGATGATCAGCAGCCAATCTTTCCCTGAAACTCAGTTTATCGCTGTCACTGCTTACCAGAATGAAGAGGTCAGTGTTGTATTGATCGATTATCCTTCAAGATTACCTGTCTTGTAAAACGATCAAGATGTCAACAGCTGTGATGTCTTCCCACAGATTACCGCTCTGAAGATTAAGCACAACCCCTTTGCCAAAGCTTTCCTGGATGCCAAAGAAAGGTACAGAATATCGACTCAAATGATCCGTTTAGTTGTTAATTCAGTGGTTTGGCAGAGCAGAATCTAATGTTTTGTTGTGTTTGACTACAGGAGTGACCACAAAGAAGTCCCCGATCACAGCGCAGATAGCCAACAGTCTGGCTACTCTCAGCGTGAGTGTCATTTCTTAAACCATTCCCAAAGCAAATCTCGCTAAATTCCCGTGAACAAGCTTCCAAAATCAGGTGTTCTGTTATCTCGCTAATATTTTGCTCATTTGATTCCACAGTCGGTGGCTGGTTTCTCCCGGGACAATCACCCATCTGCCCCAGCAGCAGCCCTCCTCAGTTCAGCAGCACAGCGGGCCACTCTTCCGGCTCCTACTGCGAGCGCTACTCCAGCCTGAGGAGCCACAGGGCGGCCCCCTACCCGAGTCACTACCCACACCGAGCCTCCAGCACGAGTAAGACTTCACTCACTACCATCAGTGTTGGACTTTTAATCAGAAGAAACATGTGAAAGAGGATGATAACTGAGGATTGGTGTTAATTTGTTTACTTTTTTCTCATTTTTTAGACAACTACATGGACAACACTTCAGGGGCTCTTCCCACTCATGACAGCTGGTCTGCTCTGCAAATCCCAAACTCCACCGGCATGGGCACTCTGTCCCACTCCACTAACTCCTCCTCTAACTCCAGGTAAACCGCTTAACCATATATGCTTCTATCAATAAGTGCTGAAGATAAATATGACACCTTCTTTGACTCTTCTGTTTTCGAGGAGAAAAGCTAACCCTCTCATTCTTCTGCTTTACAGTCAGTACCCCAGCCTCTGGTCAGTAGCTGGCACCACCCTCACCCCATCAGGCTCTGCTTCAGGCTCCATACCAGGAGGTCTGACCTCCCAGTTCCTGAGGGGCTCCTCCTACACCAGCCTGACTTCTTCTCTGCCCGTCTCCTCGCCCTCGTCCATGTATGACCCCAGCCTGAGTGAAGTCGGAGTCGGGGATGCCCAGTTTGAGAGCTCTATCGCCAGGCTGACCGCGTCCTGGGCTCCTGTGGCACAGAGCTACTGAGCAACATCCGCAATTTTGGGAAGCAGGACTTGAGACAATAGAGAAGAGTCCCTGAGAGAGAAGATTTTGGGACAACTCAAGATTTGCAAAACTCCTGCCTCATGCCTTGGTGAAAGAAATCCCAGATTAGTCATTCCAGTGCCTCTCATGATAAAAGTCGGGCTCAACAAAGTTAAAAGACAATCATCTTCCTCTACATGGGACAAAATAATCAAAGTCTTGTCTGGTTAAAACATCTTTCTTGGCTCTTAGTTGGTCCCATTATGTTTGTTCCACCTTTTTAAACTCCCATTGCTCAGCCAAACAATCCTTCATTATTTTGATTTTTATTCTTACATAAATGAGATGAATATGATTCTGCTAACATTAATGTGTATATGTGTGTAAATAGGATAAATTAACGTCCAGTGTTTTTCCGTATAAATGTGCCTTTTTGAATGCAATAAATGTTCCACGGTCGGACTGAGAGACGCAAGTGCCTTCTGAATCAAACCCCTGTACATAACTATGTATTTGTATTTGAACTCGCTGTGAGTTTTATTTATGTCATTTAATAATAAATTAAAATGTTTGTTTTCTCAGTGACGGGTTTGTGCTCAATCTGATTTTTGTCTTTCACATCTGGAATGAAAAGTTTCGCAGCTTAAGAGCGACAATAAATAGGTTTTTTTATACAAACACACAGACGATAAGGGATAAAACAGCATGCTGTCATGACGCTGTTATAATTGGGGAGGTCAAAGGTCAAACAAAAGCCACAATGGTTCTAGGAAAAACACAAAATCAAGACAATCTAAGAGCAGACAAATTCACTTTAACATCTGATTAATAATACAACTGAAATTCTGATTTAGACGTCAACTCTAACGTCGTTCAAGTACGTTAACCCCTATATCTCACATCATGTTGCTCTTTCTTTATATAACGGTGTCAAGTGAACGTTGCCCCTCTGACATGTAATTGAAACAACAAGGTGATGGAGAAGTGTGCAGTTTCAGAAATGTATCAGAACCGCTTCTCCATCAGTGGCACCCTTTTGTTACAATCTGCGTCGTGGTGCGACGTACGGCTAACACATTCAGATCTGCATGTGAGGAGAGTCAAAGGTACAAAAGACCAACCCCAAAAGCTAGCACCTGGGACTGAATGTAATAAACCGAGATCTGAAAAAAGCACAGGTATTGCTCCACAGTTGGCTTTGCATTACAGCCTCAATTCCGTCCTCCGAAAGTTAAAAACAGAATAGGATTGAGCGTTCACGTGTTAAATTAAACATACAAGGGTACATTATAAAGAGGTTATGAAATCTGTATTGAACGTGAATTTTATGCAGACAAATTTAATCTCCAAACTCAGCACTTCGTGTTTTTTAACCTTCCTCCTGTGTTAGCTTTTACCACGCACCCACTATGTTAAGGGTCAGTTTTGACCCGTGTCTCATATCAGCTGTAAGTAACACTAAAAACAATTCTCTATCATCCAATTTGGTTCTCATCTCTAAGTTACCTTGTTAGGCTTCATTATCCATGAAAATATTGATTATAGTAGTTTTTGGTGTGGGCCTCTGGGCCTTTCTTTGTCAGGATACCCCTCACACAGACATCTATACTGAATTGATCCCACATGTCTGGACATGCCCGACGTAGTTTTTGTGCAGGTAAATGCATGGAAAAATGAGATTTTCCTAAATCTCCCATGATTGGAAGAGGATCTGACTGTCAGTGTGGTGCCCGACAGTGCATTTATGTTTCAGTTTTTTGCTCTAGTTATTAGATATTGATCTAACCGGATCAACAGCGACCCTAAAACGATAAGTGCCATAATTTTAATAAGAGCATTTTATAATTTAGTCAATTTAATTTTTTTATTTTTATTTTGTTGAAATAGAGGTTCCTGACTAAGTCAAAAAGTCTTGATGCAAAAAAGCAAGTGTTTTTTTTAACCCTTACAGACTGTTTGGGTCAAATCTGACCCATTTTGACTTTTAACAGCAGTAAAAATACCCTAAATGTCATTCTTTCAAACTTAAAAAATACACTTTCCCTGCTATTTGAAACAGTTAGGAAGGACAAATCAACAATTTTTTGAAGTAGCACTGGTCATTTAAACATTATAAAAAGGTTTGGGGTTAGAACTTTGGTGAAAATACTTGTTACATGGGCAATTCTTGGGCTGGGTCAATTTTGACCGAGAACATACATGTGAGGATACAGGATTTGAACTGTATGTGAGGGTTAAGCATTTAAAATCAAAAACGGGTCGGTGCAGACCCTAACACAGGAGGAGGGTTAAAGTAACGTTTGCACTAGCAGGAACGTTGGACACACAAACCAAACTCAGAGCAGTGCACCAACTTCTGCACAAGCAAAAAAGACTTAAACCATCTTGCTAAGATGATAAGAATTCATTATATACTGGAATGAGGAAATAATGACTTTAGAAAAAGTTATTATTCAGAGACAGATGAAAATAACTGTCCACACATCTTATCTGAGTATGATTTCATCTAGATGTATGATACAGCTTAAATCCAACACTGCAAGTGGACTTGTGAAATCTAAAACATCAAACGATCCTAAAAATCTCTTAAATACATTAAAATAACACTTTCTATGGAATTAGAGGTAAAAAAAATTGATGAATAGAATATTAAAAACATAAAATATATCAAAGACTAAAAATTCTGGGACCTAAAATGAGCAGAAAACTTGCTAAATATGCCGTGAAGTACTGTCAGCTCTGTCTCTTTTCCTTCTACCTGAGGGCGGTGTCTCTACCGTGACATCAGTGGTGTGATGTGTGAGTCTGTGTGTGTGTGTGCTCGGCCCTGTACAGTGATGGAGTGGTCCTCACTAAGGTGCAAATGAAGGCTGGAGGGTCACAGGGCCACAGGCAAACAGTAATGAAGCAGCAATGTGACCTGCAGCTGGCAGGGCCAACACAGCAGAGCAAAGGTCCCTCATGAAGAGCTGACATCTCTGAAAACCTCCACTTTACTGCCTTTACAAATTTAGGAATGCATCTACTTTAGCTGAAAAAACACAAGGTAGCTGTTACAGTCTATTGAACAAATCAAGATTTTATTTTTAATCACAGAAGAAAATATAAGTAAAGCAGAGGTGTGTAAATCCCTGTCATTTAATTGATTATATTAAAAAGGGAGGTTGTTCCAGAGAGTCAGGGCTCTGACATCTTTGGTCCTCAGACTGGACAGAGGAAAGGTGAACAGAGCCTTGGCTGAGGACCTTGAGTTTTGACCGGGCACATGTGGATTGAGGAGATTAGAAATGTGCTTGGTTGCAAGACCAGACCGTGCTTTGCGTGTTACAATAAAGCTAAAATAGATGTTATATGATCTCTCTTTTTGGTTCTTGTATGGAGGCCAGCTGAAGCATTTTGGTTAAGAAGTGTACAAAGAGTTAAAGTAGTCAAAATAAGAGGAGATAAAACCATGAATGACAGCCACATTGTTTTTTTTTCTGAATAAAAATGATCTTACTTTGGAAAGTCTCCTTAAAACAAGTGAAACGACGATTGAAATGAAATGCTGGCTCAGATATGGATTTGCGTCAAAGATGACACCTAGATTTTTGCATTTGGCTGTGATATTTTGTGACAAAGACCCTGGATGTGTCACCATTTCTGCTAGCCTGAGCCAGTGTCAATTCTATCTAGATTTGTCTGAAAGAAAATCTTGGACATCCAGAATTTAATGTCTTAGATACAGTTGTCTAACTTGTTAGGATGGTAAGATCATTGGGATTGAAAGATAGATACAGGAGGGTATCATCTGCGTATGAGTGAAAACTTACATGAATGCTTATTTATGGATTTTTTTCCAACTTATGAGCAGCACAATCAGTTCAAATAAAATAAACAATAAACAGGAATTATCTTGTTTGATTATCTGTCAGTATGACGAAACTAAGATTACAGTTATGCTAGCTTGCTAACATAATGGATGGTGATGTTAGCACAGACAATATATGCAATGTTTATCATCTAAACTCAGCGTTTTAGCATGCCAACATCAAAAGGCAGTTGAATATATTGTTTCTGTAATGCAAACTCTAATATGCACACAATTGTATTAAGTCGCCTCTTCTTTTGAAAACACACGCCAGCATTTGAAAGACTAGAAGTTTTGAAATGTAAATGTTGTCTTCTTCCCGTCAAATATGGGATTGCAGTTTAGGTCAGTCAGTGGTTTTTGTAAGTGATTTTGATCCTATGGAGATTTTGTACTTAAGTGTTTTGTCTGTTTTTAATACAGTGCTGCCTGAGGGCCTTAATGATCACAGCCATCCAGTATTGATTTTGGATTAGTGCCTTGTGTGCAGAGATTCCTCCAGACTTTCAGAGTCTTTTACTGATATTTTGTGCTGTAGATGATAAAATCCTTAGATTTTGAAACATTTTGGTGTTGCGAGCATCAAATATCAAATTTTCGTGAAACAACTTTTTCAAGTTCAACATTTAATATGCTGTCTCTGTATCAAATATAGGTTATAGGTTTTAAATTCTGTTTGTATCACAAATTGGGAATTTGGGTTGTTTTTTGAATATGATAATTCCTCATTTGTGATATTCTCATACTTTAATTATTGGAACAACTGGTATTTTTAATGAGTTATAACTTAAATGTAATTTGATTCTGTTGAGCTGACTGTCAGTACCTGATGAAGTACACTGGGTGAAGTCTTGGGCTATTTTTAAAAAAGCTAATTATTTATTTGACTAAACCTTTTACAGTCAAGAACAATATGATCAATATCAAAAACAGGAAATAAAAGAGCTATTTGGCTTTTAAGTTGTAATGTGAGTGTATGTGGGTTTGTGTGTGTGTGTGTGTGTGTGTGTGTGTGTGTGTGTGTGTGTGTGTGTGTGTGTGTGTGTGTGTGTGTGTGTGTTTATGAGGAGTTTTCCAGACTTGATGGGGAGGATGTTTGCTGATGGTCTTTGCTAAGTCTGCAGTGATAAACAGGTCCTGCTGAGCCCCGGGTCATCTCACCCCTCTCACTTATGTCTGTGTGTGTATGCATTTGAGTGTGTGTGTGTGTGTGTGTGTGTGTGTGTTAACCTGAAGTCCCTGAACTGACTGAAGTCTTTGTCCTCCAGGACGGTTGATCTGCTCTGTACACCTCAGCCTGCAGCCCGTGTTGGCCTTCACTAATTGACAATTGGAGTTTGACTTTGCAGACTCCGGCCTCCTCTCCTCCTCTGGAAGTGTGTGTAACAAATACGCTTTACAGAGTGTGCCCAGCACCCAGGTGTGGAGGACGGACACTATAAACAACAGATGCACATATTGGGCTGGGTCACTATTACCTCATGGTGAGTACTTTTGGGTGTATCGGGTTTTAGAGTCAGCATTAAGCACACCTAAACCACAGATTTCATATGTTAGGTGGGAAGAAATGAATCGAACGGTGTTAAGGAGCTGAAGTCAAACTTCTTTTCTAATTCCTCGGTCTATGTTTGCCCTGATGTCCCCTCACATATTCCTCCTCTGTTTCCAGGAATCAGACACCAAGCAGTCTTACGGAAGAAGACAGAAGGGCGAAGCGGCCTCCGCAAACACCTCGATTATGACGATGAGTCACATTGTGCAGGGTCTTGCGGCTGATTTACGAGGGGCCGCTGCCAAAAAACAAGTTGTCAAGTCTGGAACAGCAAGTCAGGGAGGTGTGTTTGCAGACCGCCCCCTCGTCCTCCCCAAACCCCCACCCCATCCTCTGATGTCTGTGTGTCTTCGTTAATGAAGAAATTCTGGTACCTTGGTGAGACATTGCTCTCAGCTGAGCAGACTCTGCCTTCTGTGTGCCCTCAACCCCTGCACAGTCATACAGCTGCCCCACCCAGTCGCAATCCCATCAGGCCTCTGGATTCAGCTTCCTCGCAGTGCATGAAACTACTGGAAGATGAGCTGGCAGAATAACTTTAGATCTGTAACCAACATATTTGAGCTTACAGATACAACCAATGTGAAGGAACTGCAATCAAATTTATAATTGACCCCAAACGCAGCAAATTAGCCTGACGTTATTTTTCTGTAAGCTTCCACAGGGGGATAAAACTGCAGCCCTGCTAGGCTAAAGAAAACAAGTACATACGAACAAAGACCAAAAACTGAATTATAAAGTTCATCCATTATTGACATTTAGCTCACCAGGATTATGCACAACACTGGCCCTGTCTACTGCTAGCCCATTTCATATGAACACCATCAGCATTAGCATTGAGTCAAAGTATAGATACTTCAGGTCAGATGTTGCTCCAAAACAAGAGATAGTTGCTCCATCAAAGTACTTGAATACTCTGAAATATAATTGCATTTTTCCAATGCACAAGAATACAAGTGTCAAGAATACATGGGTGTACATTCTGCTATGTTAGGGTGATTATATTCTGACTTCCCAAAAAGTAGACACAACTACGAGGGGGCGGAGTCACACAGTTGCACAAAGTTAATTTTGATAGTATTTCGGGTCGGATCAAGTGTCTTTTACGTGCTTCTAACTCAGTAAGTCCATGTGACACAAAATCGCAACTCTCGTACAAAACCGCGGACATTTGAAGGATTTTACAAACTCCCCCGGACAAGCCCGTACGGCCCCCCAAAAAGGGGACATGTCCGGGTAAAACAGGACGTATGGTCACCCTTTGCTATGTTATGTTTATTTACATTTTTAACTAAAGTGTTAAAAATTTTCCACATTTGCAGCTCTAAAATAACAAGAACAGACAATTATAAAATATAAATAGCAAGTGGAGAAGGCCTATCCTTCTCTGCTGTAGCCATCGTTACCACCACTAAATGAACTGTATGATCATTTAGTGTTCCACATTCGCTCTACATTCAACCAACGAGACAAGTGATGTAGACCTACTGGTGTGTGGCAACATCATTAACCCGCTGAGCATTTTTTGGTCTAAAAAAGGTCTAATAGACGTCTAAATAGAGCCTGGACGACTGGTCTAAAATCAGGCTACCACAGGTCTAAAAATGAACGTTTTTTAGACGTCTAAATTTAGACCAAGTCTAAATCTGGGCTATATCTATACTACACTGTTTATTGCTCAACAACTATCATAATTATTTTGGTTCAGTACTTGGAGATCAGTTATGCAACTCACAGTTGCTTTTTGAAGTAGATAGTTATGGAATAATGGGTTAAAGTGCAACGTCTAAATTCTGTCTAAATATATACAAAATCTAGATGGTTGAAATTAGTTCTTAAAAAAACTAGACGTCTAATAGCAGTTTATTGCTCAGTGGGAACTTGGCACAGATCCGCACAAGCACAGTTTGAGAGAACATTCACACAAATATAGAGTGGTGGGAAGTAAGATATTGGTCTTTTAAATGAAGTGGAGAAAAGTAATTATTCACACACATACCCAAAGTTGGCATTAAGTTACTTCTGTGATATTTAATCATCTACCCATAATCCACGTTTCTACCTTTAAATACTCTGTCATGAATCCACTGTAGTGTCGTTTATGTACCCTACAGCCTCTGCATCTCAACATGGTGACCTGCACCCTGTCTCTGAAAAACCTTGTTGTCCTGATCAGGCAGATGTCCGAGCGGTGTTTTTGAACTACATGAGCAATTTCACACATTAGGAGGACTTGCTAGCCAGCATAAGCTAATGTATGTTTCCTCAGTGATGCCACAGTGACGGTGACAGCCTCTCACCATCCTGACAGGCCAGTCCAGTTAGCTGTGGACAGTCACACAAGCACAGAAGACTTGTAAGCAAACTGGTGCTCACTGAAGTAACATTTAGCAGCACTGCATGATATCCAGTGTGGTCTGAGTGAGAAAGAGTCTTTCTCTCATTGGTAGCAGCATGCTGATTATCCTTGCACTCTAGACAACATGTTGATAACTGCAGTAGTCACACAAGTCTTATTCTGCATTATTTAAAAAAGTAAAACACCCAATCACATCCAACCTCTTTCAATGAATGGATTTGGATAACAAACCAAATATGCGCTGTGGAAGGTCTGTCATTTTCTCTCAGAGTCCAGAGTGAAATATTTTATTGGATTTGACAAAGAGGAGTTAGTATGTCAAAGCTTAAAGACCAAACTTGACCATACTTATCTCAGATGGAGCTGTTGTATCTTAATTTTATTGTTCCTCTCCTGCCTTTCTTCAGCTCTTTGGGGCATTTGAGGTAAGCCACTTGTATTTGTTTGTATGACTTTGAAGAAAGAGACAGATTCAAAAGAGATTAACAAAACTAATGCAATTAATATTCCTATTTTTCTGTTTTTTACAGTGATATTATCATGGGAAATACTAAGTGTTAAGTTATTGACAGTCACTGATAGCCATTCTGTGTATCATATTCTATTAGATTATACCATTTCATATCATATTGCTTTGTACCATTCTGTAAAATGTCATATCAAATCATTTCATATCGTATCATACATATCGTACCAGCTTGTATCATACCGTACCGTATCGTACCAAACGGTATCATATCATATGATATCGTACCGTACCGTATCATATCCTACCGTATTGTATCATACCGTACCGTATTGTATCACATCCTACCATATCGTATCATATTGTACTGTATAATATCATACTGTACCGTATCGTGTGGTACTGTACCGTATCGCATCATATCATATCAGCTTGGATCAGATGGGATTTTAAATCAAGTTTAGTCTTTAGTTACTGTATGCAGATTTTTGAAAGACTTTTGTTGTTTGTCATTATTTGTAGATTATGGGCAAAAATGTGCAACCCTCACACAACCCTACTTTTCAGCTTGTGCCAATATCAAGTTAACAGACAAACAAAACATTATTTATCACTCCATTTTATCAATTTAAAAAAAAATGGTTGTCAAAAAATCAAAAACAAACAAAAAAAACTCCACTAAATGTGAAATGAAATGTTAAATTTTGATTGAAATTAACTTTGGGAAAAGATTTATCGACGGCAAAGGGAGTGGAAGTGAGCAGGAAAGAGTTTCCCTTTCACAGGTTGTGCTGACAGCACACCAAAATAAAACCGCTCATACATCAAATTATTTTGACTTTTGATTCCTTTATTTAAAAAAAACTCCAGACTTACTTTAAATATCAAGACAACGTGCAACAGGGTGTCAACCTTGTTATCATGACGAAGAAAGAAACACGAACCTACAGAATGAACTTAAGACACATCAATCATCCAAACTACAGAGAGCAGATGAAAGGGGGTTGTTTTGTTCTGATATGATTTACATGAACCGTTATTTGAAGGTCTCAACTGAATTTGGCTTTGGAGAAATCCATCTCTGGGTGCTGAGCCATGAACCTGCGAGAGGAGGACAAAAGCACATAAGCATAAAAATCATGAGGTCTTTATTAAGGATGATTATTAAGTCTTTCTTTCACAATCAATATCAAACTGTGTTTTCATACAGGGTGGTACTATCGTGTCCTCTATTGCAGATATTCTGGCTTTGATCAAGAAATGAAGATCAATCATTCAATGTCTTATTCAAATCTTATTTTTAACCATATTTACCAGATTTATGACCATATTCATGTTCTGAAGGACAACTTCATTTTTCCATATTTCTACCATTTAACTCATTACTCCAATCTTACATCAACATCTCATCCCAACGTCTTCCCCTTTAAGCCTTTACTATAGCACCTCCCTGTGGCGAAAAAGTAAACTTTATGAAAGCTGAACAGTATTTTTTAAAGTGGTGCTGCATGCTGTACTTGTTCATAGTCCTGGTCAACTCAGCCACTTTGCTGAAATACCTGATAGGGGACATAAACAAAAGCTGGACTGTCTACCACTGCAGATCAGGTCAATCTACCATGCTCATTTTGAGACAAATAAATAAATTTAAAAAAAAAAAAAAACATCAATGCAAGTGTACGTGAATGCTCTGAAGGAGCAAGCACATGTGTGTCAGATCCCAAATCTTTACTTTCTATACTGCCTACTGGAAGAAAAGAAATTCCGCACACTCTTTGAAATACCACTAAAAGAAAATACTTTGCCAGACAGACCTGGTTGGAATTTAATGTCACAAACCACTGTAGGAGAGCCTACCTACACCTACACATAACTCTAGTTGTATTGTTTAACCCTCGTAAAGACCTTTAGAGGCAGCTTTTAAAGCTCAAAGAGGAAACAGAGGTCTACATTACAGCAGACATGCCTTCTCTGCAGGAGCGCATTCACAGCTTTGACGTCAGCCTACACTAAAGTCTGTGTGTCCAGTCTGTTACAGGGGCGGAAATGATAAATGCTCCTAAAATTTAACCTACTCAGTGAGAGTATCATGTACTGACTGAGCAATGTCATATGTTCATGACTGAGATATACAGTCCACCCTTTTATTCAGCTCTAAATATGACACTTATGTTCATTTACAGGTGACTGGGTGAGATAACAGAGCAGACAGTGTTTACTACATGCAAACCTTTATAGTACGTCAAGTTTTGGGGCTAAAAGGACGAAAACTGCCTCTCATGAAATGTAAGCTATATTCAAAAGAAAAAAGAGCTTGAGAGCCTTTAAGAAACACCTGCAAGCTTAACACAGACCCAAAGCACTAGGGAGAAGGCCCACTGAGGTAGTGCAACAGGTCCAAATTAACACCTACTTGCTTTTAGTGTAACTTAGGGTGGAGAAAAAAAGGTTATATGAGGATGTTGCTCGAGGCTAAGTGAGGTGCCCCCCCTGCTGGAGATCTGTGGGACACACAGTCAACTGCACCAGCTACCACAGGAGATGGGAAAACAGCCTCAGTGTCTGCATTTGAGTTTGTTTATGAGAAATGCAGGACAGAACTACAGGGAGAATGTTATAACGTGGCAAAAGACGGAGTGTTGCATTGGAACCCAAAGCTGCTGCATCAAGAACTGAGAGTCTGTATACTGGACATGCTTTACAGACATCCTGGCAAACTTAAAATGCATCGATTTTCTTTAATGAAGTTCAGATCGATAATTTCCGATGTCCCAAGAGAATCTTAAAGACTCTGTGACACCTCACCGTGTAAACTTCTACGTCTACTGGCTTGGCACTGGCAACATTTACACTGGCGGTGTTCGAGTTGTTCTTGGCCAGCAGGTGTTATTCTGATATTAAAACTAAATTTGTTTTTATTACAAAAAATGTATAAGAAAAGGGAGCCCAGCCTTGAGTGAACATCAAGGAATCCTGCTGGCGTATTTTGAGTGATATCCTCTAAACATCACTGAACAGAGCATCAGTGGCCTCGTAGTCTAAGTGCCTCGTGTATAGAGGCCTTTTGCTGTATGTCTTCTCTCTCCTCCTAAAATTCCTGTCTGTATTTAGCTTGCAAAAACACCCAGAGACATAACTTTAAACATCACAGAACTAGTTGAGTACACTTTAAAACTTCTATTAAACTTTCTAGGGTTGAAAAAGTAATAAAAAGATCTTTGATGTTTGGGGTTTGAGGTGTATTTCTTCTTTAGGCGATGAGTAAAAACTAGAAACTTACTTTTTAAGGATGTCTTGTTTCTTTTGCTCTTCAGATGTAGGCAGGCCCATCGATTTCTGCCTCTGGTCGTACATCATTTTCTCCACCATACCCCGTGTCTCTCCGTCAAGGTCTGACAGCTGCTCAGCAGGAAAAACAGAGTAAAGGAAGAGGAGGGAAGCTGGTGGTATGAACATACAAGAATAGAGGACCAACAAAGGCTTCAAGTTTTCAGTCCTTTACCTTCGAGTTCTCTGGACAGACTTTCTTGGTGTTGATTTCAGGATCCGTGGTAACAATCTTGTTCCACCACTCCATTTTATTGATCTGAAGAAAAAGACCATTTTACGTGTTTTTTCGACATACTTACACTCACAGTATTTACATAGGTTAAATTCTCAACACAACCTCTGTCCAAACCTCAACCTTCTGGCTTTTCTCATATAATTTAACAACTCATCAGTTCAAGTGGTACAAAATTATTCTAGTAACAAGTTTACAGTATCACTTAAAATATTCTGTTCTTACCTTTTCCAAGTGCACTGTTACTACTTTGCCATCGTCAATGAGCCAGGAGCTCTCTTCCACCTTCACCTCATTGCAAAGCTGGCCGTCGATGACAGGAGGGTGACCCTTAAGACCGACCTTGATGGTGCGTCGCTGGATGTCCACGACCACATCTCTGCTCTTGATACGAAACTTCACGTCGAAAGGCACAGCCAGCTGTTTGAGGAGATGAACATTTGTGCTGCATGTTAGATTCTGTTGTACTTGGGCAATTGAAACTATGATAACACATGAAGAAAATCCTTCTGAAACACGCCAAATGTGGGCTGATAATAAGAACACACATGATTGAGGCCAACATTTTCTGAGTCCTGACCAATACACTGTATCCTACACAGCTGCTGTGTATTGTATAAAGACTTTGGATTGACTGAGCAATGGACTGTGATATAAAGTCAAAGGCTTGTATTGTAACTGCCACTGCGAGGTAGAAACCTTTGTTGCGGGAAGCTTTTGGCGATTCCACAGAAGTTACAATAAGTAAAGCTGTGCCTATAAAAATCTGCCAAGAAAGCAGGTGAGGACCATGTCATAACTCTGGTCAGGGTTTCAGACTAACTTCAGGACAAGGTAAGATACTGGTGCATAAGTCTTCCACGTCATCATCACCCATAAGTCAAAAAGTACTCACATCAACTTCAGACAGGGTCTGTGTCCACTTGTAGTTTGGCAGGTCAGCTCCATTTCCTGCATTCGGCTTCAGTTTACCTTTGTCCTTCTCATCCTCCTCACCCTCTGAGTCAGACTTGGAAAATAAAAAAAATGTATAAGTCAGCAAACCCTCATTTTAAAACACTGTAACATCAAATTCTTGAACCAACCTTACACTTACCCCCTTCTCTTCTTCTGTTTTGTTGGATGACTTTTCTGAATTTGTTGTTGCGTTCACTGCTTTCTCCTCTTCCTTCTTCTTCTGAAATATGAGTAAAAATAACAGAGTTATAACTCCAACAGGTAGACAGCGGCTGCAAGTGTGACTGACCATCGAAACTCAGAGATTTCACCTTGTCAAGTTCAGACTGGAGTTTTTCTGCCTCTTCATCAGTCAGTTCTTGGATTCTGGGGCCGTCTTCATTTTTCTTCTTCTTCTTTTCTTCCTCTGCTAGTTTTGCCGCTCTTTCAGCCTTCTCTTTCTTTTCCTTCTCTTGTTTCATCTGTTTATCTTTGTGAGCCTTCTGCGCAAGTTTATTATGGTGGGCGAAGGCATCTTTGACGAGCTGACAGAAAAAAGACGAGGAAAAATTCAGGTTAGTAACATGTTGCATCAAATGACAACAAAGCGTTTTGGGCCACATGCACTTTGTTTTTTTGTGTTTTTGGAGTGGAGGGTCCACCACATTAAGGACTAGTAGTTCCTTAGACATCTGAGTGTGAGCAAGAATGGGCTGCTAAACACATCTGCAGTGGTCACCACTGGGAAAAGGCAAATGTCTGAGTGCTCACCTTCTCTGGAGCGCCTGCCTCACCGCCAGTGAAGAAATCAGTTTTCCGGCGGAGGAAACTGAAAAATGTGTTGACCAACTGTGGAAATAAATGTAGATTGTAAAAAACACTGTACGTATACTTCAGACTCAGGTGATATTTTTACTCTGGTATTTAAAGTTTGATTCAGATCTGTAAAATGTCATATTTGCAACATTCCTAGAATGGAGCCACTGAACTCTGACTGAAATATAAAGGATAAGAATAGTTAAAGATATTTTAAATTCCTTTACAGACCTTTCTGAGTCACTGAGTCTGAGTCTATTCTACATAACTGAGCCACATGACTCTGACCAGACAAAACCACACATCTTCTTCTGACAATACAATAGGAGCACCCAAAACACCGTGACATGAGGTTTTATTTGATATTGCACACATTAATCGCTGCTGTCACCATCATGTCTACTAGATATAGCAGCATACCTACAACAGGAATAAACATGAGTTGTTCAGTAAATTGAAATCCTACTTATATGAATATAACATGTAGAAACGCACATTTATTTAGTACATAACTAGATTCAGTCTGCTGACAGTAAAGTGTGCCTGTTATCCTGAAGGCTATCTTTATTAGCTTCATGATTAGCATGCTAGCTTCAGTATGGAAGCATCACATTAAATAAGTTACCTCCTGTACTCCTCCTTCGTGTTGTTGCGCCATAACCAGCAGCATTCCGTCGTACTTTTCCTCGTCATCGCCCATGTTGTTAGTTTAAGAAAAAGACTGACTTTAACAGGGAGAGGGGATGACAAGCACAGTCGTGAGTTTGCAAGCAACGTGAGGCCCGTTAACACACCAGTCACTTCCTGAAAAGAAACCCCGCCTACGCTTGGAGTCGACCAATCAGGAGAATGGACTGAAAATGACAGCCACGATAACCAATTGGAGGAAGTACATAAGGGCAGGGCTACGGTGAACCGAATGAAAGAGAAGTTTCTAGAGGAAAAAATATATATATCAATACGGGGAATTCACGTCACGTCATATCCTTTTCCGGTTTATGCCGATAGCAGGGTATACCTTGCTAAACACCGTTGAGTTTATATGGACTTCCAGTTAAACAACGTTCAGTTTTAGAAAGGTATAGTGAAGATTAATATTATATACGACTAGGCAAGAAGTTATCTTGCTAATGTTGTCAGCGTTTTGAATTTCATTATTATGAAAACTTCTAAATTAGGCATGAATAAGCTAAGCTAAGCAATGCTAATGATGCTAGCGACCTCATAGTGTGTATAGCCTCACTTCATTATGTATCAATGCATAACAGCGCTCGACAGTGCGATCGTCTCACTCACATTTGCGACTAAAAAAAGATGTGTGCGAATTGTAAAATATATTTACGTTTTTCATGTAAATACCCCAGTGAAGTTAGTTTTAAGTTGGATATTCCATGGACATCTCCCATTGTCTTCTCACTCTCCATAACCGGGAATATCAGCAGCAGCAAGAGCAGTTAAATCTACTCGGCACCCTCGCTGTCTTAATAAGGGACCATCAATAAATTACCTGTTGATGTTCTCAAGAAAAGGCTGTTTTCCTTCAGTAGCTTCCATGTCATGTGACCGATTGACCTAAAATTGATTTCAGATAATAGTGGGACAATAAGACACACTCTTTATTTCCCTAATTTGTGCTCTAAAATTTTTGTGTGAAAATTTAAGGGCAAATTTGAACATTTTCTTTAATAACTCCCAGTACATGTGACCAGTTGACCCAAAATTGATTTCAAATAATAATACGACGATACAGGTCCTTACACACCGGGGCTGACGCAAATGTAGAACACGAAATTATGAAATATTGAGAGGTAAATTTTGACGGGCCTGACTATACACATCAAGCCCGATGCGATTTTGCGACTTTACGGGGGCAAAAGATGCGTCCTGGGGAAGACTTTCCCCGGGGAAAGTCCCGTCTCCTTGCCAAAAGCCAGGCACATCTGTTGTCATGTTATCATGGTTAAACTACTTTGAAACTGCCATGGCCAGTGGTCGTTATCAGCTGAAAACGCTGATGAATATATACATTCTTTGGACATGTCCCTAGATTGATTTTGGAATGCTAGCAATGCTATTTATAGGCTACTATGTAGCTGCGTGTAACAATAACACATTTCGACTTCTTTTTGGATTTCTTTTTATACCAATATAGACTTGCCATTATATATCAAAGTTAACATTATCATGGAGATAAAACATTGTTTTTTTTCTTTCTCACAACAGTATGTCAGGATCCTGGTGCAGTGTCCCTTTTTGCAACAGCAGCAAAAAGAAATGCCCCCATTTGAGCTTTCATGACTTCCCTGCCAATAAAATTCTACGTGCCTGCTGGGTGAGGGCAATCAGGAGAGATGAGGGACCAAGTTTTGTGATAATTCGGGGAAGCACCTATGTGTGCAGTGAACATTTTAAACCAGAGGACCTGCATAAGCCAACTCAAACCAATGGACGTGGACGAACTCGCGTTAAATATGGAGCGGTGCCTTCAAAATTCCTCTGGAATGGCTGGGGTAGTTATCACATGACAATGTTAAATCTAGCTATTACAGTTGTCTCTCTGTCTCTCTGCTCTTGCTGAAATTGGCAACCTACCTCCAACTGTATTTTCTGTTTATTAAGGAGCTGGAGAGATGGGGAGACTCCTGTTACTGAACAACCATGATATCAGAATATAAAGCTTTAAAAATATGTATTTACCTATGAAGCTGATGAAATGATATCCTGTTGGAAAATAAAGCATTTGTGATGTTTTGTTTCATTTCTTAGGTTCACAAGCTTGGAAGCCAGTTTACCAATCAAGGCAATCTGTTGCAGTGGCCAAAGATCATGATTATGGCTGCCGACCATTCCCTGGTTAGTATTACAATACTTACCGCTCACAGAAAAGATACATGAGATGACAACACGCCATCTTCACTTGCTCATTAACTTAATAACTTAAGTTTTCTTCCAACTGTATTTTCTATTTATTAAGGAGCTGGAGAGATGGCTGTTAGCTTACGTTAGCACAGATAAAAGTTAAAAACAAAGACGTTTAGCAAACTGTTAAAGCACACAAACCATCGTCATATCAAAAATCCAACACTATGACGGGGAAATGTCGCTGATGTGAACGCTTACATTGACAGGATACGGTTTCAAAAAAAAAATAACAACCTCCGAAATAAACGGTCCTGGTGTGTAAGGACCTTTAACCTTTTAACAAAAGACTTTGCTTAAACCTTAAATTATATATCTCTGAAAAAATATGTATTTACCCGTGAAACCGATGAAATGTTATCCTGCAGGCAAATAAAGCTTTTGTGATGTTGTGTTTAATTTTTTAGGTTCACAAGTTTGTTTGCCAGTTCACCAGCAAGCACGAAAGCGTCTGTGGGCTGCTGGCCTGGATGACTGTGCAGGGATGGCCGTCCCAGGGGACAACACAGATGACAGAGGACAGGTAGGGACAGTCCAAAGGACAGGGGACAGTTCAGAGGACAGCGGACAGTCAAGGCAATCCGCCGCAGTGGCCAAAGATCATAATTATGACTGCCGTCCATTCCCTGGTCAGTATTACAAAATTTACTGTCTTTCAGAAAAGATACATGAGTTGATTACATTGTAAGAAGTGTTGAAAAAACGCCATCGGCACGTGCTCAATAAAAAAATTAATAAATAAAAAAATTTAATAACACTGCACCATTTTGGTTGGACCTCCCGCGGGCATCTGACAAACACCCTTGACCAAAAAGTTAACTAAATAAAACATTTTCTTTAATGAGCAACTGAAAATGGTGTGCAAGTGATTTATCTTTGTTTACTCCACAAACACACATGTACTTGAGTTAAAAATCAGGTGTGCTAAAGACTTTGCTTAAAGGAATTTTAATGCAAAATGTAGAGATGGATTAGTGATGTGTATGTTTTTTCTTCCTCTTAAGGTAAACTGGACGGTGCCTCAGGAAGAATACAGGAGGTGGAGCTGAATGTGATATCCCTGAAAATTGAACCAGAGCAGATGAAAGCTGGTGTGCAGCAGCCTCTGGTACACCAGTTTTGTTTTACAGATAATAACTTTCGCTTTTACACTAAATTCATCTCAAAGGAGGTATTTACTCAGTTTTGGAAGTCCATTGAGCCATCTGCTTCAAATCTTGTTTACTGGTCCGAGGCACAACGAACAGCCCAAGATCTTCCTACCTGTAGCCCTTGTGGCGAACTAGCTCTCATCGATGAGTTCTTCGTGTTTCTCTGTCGCGTTGCAGCTGGATTTCATGAGAGAACATTGTCAAAAGTATTCAAGGTTAGCCAGTCCACAGTTAGTCGCATCATCTTAACGTGGACTAACTATCTGTATCTTGTTCTTGGCTCACTACCGTTGTGGATGACACGAGAGCAAGTGCAGTCCGCAATGTCTGACACGTTCAAGCTGTACTACCCTGAGGTTAGAGTGATAATAGACTGCGCCGAGATTAAGTGCGAAACGCCATCCTCCCTCTCACCCCAGTCTGAAACCTCCTCCAGCTGCAAAAATCACACCACCCTTAAAGGCCTGATCGGGATCTCTCCATGTGGGGCAGTCACATTTGTTTCAAAACTGTTTACAGGCTCCATCTCGGACGTAGAAATAACTCAGAGATCACAGCTGTTACAGTTACTTGAGCCTGGAGATGGAGTAGTGGCAGACAAGGGGTCTTTAATCAAGAAGATGCTCTCTGAAGTGGGGGCAAAACTCACCGTCCCTCCACTGAAGAAATCAGCTAAGCTCAGCGTGGAGGGCACTCTGAGGACCCAGGCTATCGCCCGTCTGAGGATTTTGTCAGAGAGGGCCGTACGCAGAGTGAAGGAGTACCACATTTGGGATGGACCTGTTCCCCTACCTATGGCTGGTTCAGTCAATAAGCTGTGGAGCATTTGCTGCATCATGTCTAACTTCATGGGCCCTCTGGATGTAAAAGGGGACAAACCAATCTGAAGTCACCCTGGGGTCCCTGGAGATAAATATCTTGATGGGGGTCAGTGGCCAAATGAAGTAACCTGTTGGGGATCTTTGACATAAAACCATTTAAGCAGCACTAATACAGCAGCATATTTACTTGAAGACTTAAAAACAGGCAACTGGACTGTGTAGAGTGTTGCCTGTTTTTCAGTCTTCAAGAAAACCATGACCTGGATGAATGAGAATCTACATGGACATACAGCAGCATATGTTTTTTTCTACTAAAGACCTTTTGTGGTACAAAGGAAACAGTCAGAAATGTTGTTAACTACTTTCAGAAAATGTTCAGCTGTTTTTTCAGGTAGCTATGTGATTCCAGTTGAATCACATGGCATCCATTTGTAGATATTTCTGATTTTTACAGATTTTTATTTGTAGACAGAACATCAAATGTATATATTTTCCTGATTCAAGTTTTGTTTGTTAAATGCTCAACTCAGTAACTATGTCCTCAATAAAAGGCCTGTTAAATTATTTGTTTTTTTACATTTTTTGGTCAAATTAGTGGGTGAAGACAAACTAATATTGCAAACATGTTTAATACCACACAAACAGGATATTAACATAAATTCACGTAAAGTGTCATAACAGAAAATCTATGTCTGTATTATAAAGGTGAACCGAGTACAGGCAGTATTACATCACGGCAGTAATCACTAAGTTGTGAAAAAAAATCAGACACGCAAGTCCAAAGGTCACAGGTCAGTGAGGTAGTCTGTGCAATGACCCTGTCAGAGCTTGATAGTCTGGTACAGTCTGAGTTAATGACAAAGGTAAACGTGATAAAAGTCATTCACCCTGAGAGCTTCTGTGACAGTTTGCTCGTAGCACCCAAAGGTGATATGAGTTGTTTCCTGTATGCTGGTCAGAAATACCTGCTTCATGAAAAGTGTCCCATCCCACACAGCACTGCTGGGTTTATTTATTTGAATACGTGTGCATGTGACTTTTGTAGCCAGCGTTGAGTGGAAGCACAAGGAACGGCAGTATTTAGCCCTTTTTTTTAAACAATATTTCTTGAATCATTTGAAGTTTTAGCTTGTTAAGTGTCATCAAGTCTGGAGGTGTCACAGTGTGATGTGAGTTTGGGTATTTATAGCATGTAGGCTGCAGTAAAATGAACCATTTCTTGTCACTAGAGTGTTTTATTAACCTTGACATTTTTATAACTACAAACTTCCTACAGTCTCAGTCTATCAATCAACTGATAAACAACAACACAACAATGTCATGTGACGCTTGTGAGGAAGACTACAGTCAAGTTTGCAGTCAAAACATGTCAGGAAGAAAAAGAAAAAACACTCCAGCGCAGTATCAGGAACTTTTTAACGAGGACTTACACTCAGACCAAATGAACCTTTAGGACTGTAGCCTTTACTGTTGTTCCTACACTACCACCATAGTTTTATATCAGGCTCTCCTGTCATAAACAACAAACATGTCTAGAGATCATCATGTTTTATTTACGCCTGAAGTAGAATGTCTGGCCTTACCTAAACAATATTATTTGACTCCCTCATGTGGTCACAGGTTGCAAGAAAACACTTACAAACACTTACTTCAGTGTGTTTCACTTTGCTTTTATGATCACAAATCAGTTAAAGGTGGTTTAAGCTTGAGTTAAAACTTAGGCAACACTCTTTTGCATGAAGTATCATAAAAGGATTGAAAGTTACATATAAGTCTTTAGAGGAAACCGTACAAGAAACTCTTTTGTGCAAGTGAAAACAAAATGCTATGCTTAATCAAACATTTACACCCCTTTAATTAAATACAAAGTGCGTGAGGATGGTTACAGATGGCTGTTCGTACATTCCCCGTCACTTATTAAATAGTCAAGGTGCATTTTTGGTTTCTATGTCGAAACCAGAGAAACCAGTTTCCCACCAGCTTAGCATAACCGCTCTGGGATTGCAGCCAAATTACAGACACATTTAAAAACATACTGTGGTGTTAAGTTATTTGAATTATCTCAGTCCATATTACCTCGAGGCATGAACTCTTTTCATACTTCAAAGTATGTCACAAACAAGGAAGAAAAGGAGCAGTAGGTTCTTGTATCTTTGGAATATTGTGTTTCATTTGTATAAACTGAAGAGAATACAACAGAGTCAATAATTTTTGGCTGATAAGTAACACAGAGCACAGAGTCAGCTGGCCTGATTCCCATCAGAACTCAGGAGCACAGACGTTCACTTCATGGGTCGGTTTAAGATATGATTGCACTAAAAACTTTCAACATATGACACAAATTAATTAGTACCTGCAGCTTATATCAGCTGTCAAAGTTTAGTTTAGTTCATTATGAGAGATTAGGGCAGCCAAAAATGTCTGCTTGATATGAGCTTCATGTGACAAAACTAATAAAAAAATCAACATAAGAAAAAAAATTGCACTCATGTTTTTGTAAAAATTACAAAAGAAAACAAGATTTTAAAGATTATGAGAAAAAAAAATCAACATTCACTCTCTAGCTTTAAACGATACTTAACCTTCTCTTAGGGGAAATCATGTTATTCATTAACTTTCTCATCAAGAGAAAACTGCTATCATATCTGTATGGCACTTCAAAGCTTCCTTCAGCAGACGGTTATACGAGTTTAGTATCAAGACAACTAAACAGGACAGAAAAAATAGTTTCGCCAAGGAACAGACACATCCCCCTGAAAAAGACATAATTGAACTTAATGAAGCAAATTTCTTGAGATGCAAAGCTGCTCATGAAACAGACTGCATGCTGAAGTACCACCTGGCACCAGTTAACATAATCTTTTTACCGTTTTATTTACAGGACTACTATTTGGACAACAAGAATAAACTGGACTGGAAGTGTGTTGGCGGTGTGACACTTTGGCTCATGCCTTCATGGCATTCACACACGTATTGTGACCTCCTCTGGGTCAGCCCACTGGTTTTTATCCAGAAAAGGCCATACGCTACCTATTATTAAAAAGTCAACTTTTTAACTGTTAATGCAACTTATTCTTTAGAGTCCCGCTCCGATGTTTTTTTTTTTTTACTACTTAATTTGTAATCAGTGGTCTTTAAACTGTGATTATACATTTTTCACCAAAATCACATTATCTGTGTCGTTTTCATGGGCTTTTCCTTTGCAGAGCTTGAGTAGCTCATTTGCAATTCGCCTCTGAGTCGTGGGCGAAACAGCGCTGTTCTGCACAATTCTCCTCGAGTTAGCCTGCAGCCTAATATTGGCAGCGTAGTAGAAGAAACAGGTAACTCTCGGACACTAATGTCTTTAGAGGCATGATGAAAGCTAATATCATAGTTAGCTTTTTATACTAGCATTTCAATCCGCTAACCCAGACACTTGATCTACCTCTCTATTTTTCCGAGCCTAACCTGCATAGCGGGGCTCCGGGGGCGGAGCTTGGATTGGTGACGTAGGAAATCTCACTTTATCTGATCTTGCCGTTTGGGTCTGCCAGAGATTCACAGTGATTTGAATGCAGAAATACTCAAACGCAATTTCGCACGTAGTTTTCTCATGATATGTTCTCTACGATCAGAAAAATGCCATATGGACATGTAGACAACAAGAAAAACAGGATTTTCATCGAAGTGGGTCTTTAAAGGAAAAGCTGAAAACGGATGTGAACGATGCATCATATACTAATTCTTACAGGTAAATAAAACAGTTACGTCTCTACACTGAACAGGCTTTTTGCCGTACTTATACATGAGTGTTTTTTTAAGGGTTAAACTTAGAGGAAATTATCTAACTCACATTAAAAATCAGGTTCCTTATTTTACCAGTAGCAGACGCGCACACAATGACAGAGAGAGGAAAGAGATTTTACCAGAACACGCGCACCATAAACTGTTATTGATTAGTAAAGCGAGCATGTATTATGACACTGTTTATACAATAAGATGCTTTAAGCTGTTCAAACAGTTTTGGGGCTTAGTCTCTTCAGGAAACAATCTTGTTTACATTAGCAACATGTGCTAAATTTACATATCGAGGCAGAGGCAGTGAGATGCCAATTTCAAATAAGCTGCTTTGTAGTTGTCAAGCAGCAAATATGCATCCAACTTCAAAAATTATGCCAAATAGTGGAACTATCATCAGAGATATGTGATCACTGTGCTAAAATGACTATGTGTAACCACTAAATAGAATCAGAATAAAGAAAATTCTCTCAGATCAAAACTATGATGATGATTAAATTATTGAACATGCCAAAAAAAAAAAAAAGGAAACAAACTATTTGCTTTATATTTTTCAGAACTCAATCCAAAGGTCCTTTTCAGAACAGCAGCGGAATATTTTGAGCGGTCATGTTTCATAAACATGCTCTCCTTCAAGGACAAGTGGACGGTTAATCATGTTCTGCTGGCAGAGAAAGTCTTCAGTTAAGCTTTCCTTCACGTGCACACAAAAAATATTTATCAATCATAAATATCTACACACAAAGCCCTGAGTTCACTGAAGTCCTTACATGTGAGTTTTCACATTTTCAAAGCTATTCTGTCCGCACACAGAGAGTCTCCGGCTCAGCCAGAGACCGCTGTGCCAGTCGTGTTATCTTTCACCTCCTCATATGTGACCTTGTAGACACAGCGGGACAAATTAATCCAAGCAGAGGTCGCCAAGCAGCATGGAGCAGGATTCATGTTCTCACTGAGGTCCGAATAAGAGGGACACCTGAAGAATTAGTCTTTGTGTGAGACGGTGAGTAGGCTGATGAAGAACTAGAAGTGTGGCCTATGAGAACAAATGAAAGACAGACATTTTTATCAATACTAATCCGAAGAGAACTGAAAAAGTTTAAGGGACATGTATAAAGAAAGTGTAGTATATGTAAAAAAAAAAAAGTCTAGGGCCCCTTAAACTGGCAAACAGGAATGACCAGTCTGGTAGTTAAGTCAGCAACAAAAGCAGATGTTACCAGTAATGATCAGGAAGTGAAACCTGTGCCAGCACTTTGTGCAATAAAAACAATTCCTGTTTCATCTAAACTCTGATGGCACACAGAAGCATGATGGATTTCCCCGACTGTAACAGCCAGATTAAGTTTGTTACACTGATACACAGATAACGCTGGCACATTATTCAAAGTCAGTAACCAAACTACAGGAAATAAAGTAAATAAATGACACACGATGAAAGCATTTTTCCCCTCTGTCCCTCATTGGGGTGTATATTTCTTCAGCTGTCTTTCTGATCACTTTATTGGAGGCTGAATTCCACTTTCTTTTAAGATTTCAGGCAACATCATCCACAACGTAAAGTGATGATTTTATGTAAAAAGGCATAAGGAAGAATCTTCAACAGCAGATTGGTTGAAGGTAATGCATGATATATTTGTTATGGGCAAAATGAAGAGAGTAACCCATTATTCGATAAGTATTTATTTCAAAAACCAACTGTGAGTTGCATAACTGATCTCCAAGTACTTAACCCAAATGATTATGATAGCCATTGAGCACTATATAGTGTAGTATACTGTAGATTTAGCCCAGATTTAGACTTGGTCTAAACTTGGTCTAAATTTAGACGTCTAAAAAACTTTTACTTTTAGACCTGTGGTAGCCTGATTTTAGACTTGTCATCTTGGCTACGTTTAGACGTTTATTAGACCTCTTTTAGACCAAAAAAAGCTCAGTGGGAGTGCACTGCAATGTTACCATAAACAGATACAATGATTATAAAAGAAAACATAGAGATCCTTAGAAGCAAGGTTATATCCAGCTCCATAATGCTTAATGATGCGGTGGATCCAGTTAATAAACAGATGTGCTGTTTGTTTAGCCTACATCAGATGGCTTGACCTGTAAATTATTAAGGACATCGGGATGCATCCGTGTATGAAAATGAGTGACTACACAATGTGGTAACTCTCTCTATGATCTCTCTGACTCTGCAGATTGTGGACACTTTCTAATTCTCCTCAATTAAAGGTTGTCCATGTGCACAAACCTAGTTGGAGTAGGCTTTTATTTGTAGTTTTGTAAAATTGGAGATTTCAACATTTTAAGCAGTTTTCAAGCTTAACTAACAATCTATCAAAACATTGCAATCTAAGGCTATTTCTGCTCATCAAGTCAGCAGTGATCGAAACTGGTACAGGATCATTCAAAAATTCATGATGACACTTTGGTAACAACCATAGACTGTATATACTATGGACAACTTAGTTCCGCCTACCATCAGTATACGGATTCGAAGCCAAAAAGCTCTTGGTATTCTTTTTTCTCCACTTCCTGAAACCAACATTGCGCAGTAGCGACTCTCTTCGGCGGGAGAGTCGCTGTCCATTCTATATGCGGTCTATGGTAACACCCCTTATATTACCCCTTTGTACTCTGAATGTTCAGTTGACGTTGAGTTTGTAAAGACATCATAAAATAGCTGTCTTACCTCCATTATTCCTCCACATCTCCCTGGCGTACAAGTCAGATGAGGTCAGCTCTGATATTTGGATGTTTGGATTCGATCTGTCGTCATCTTTGGGAAAAACACAAAACATGAGATTCATGCATCATAACAAGTGATAACAAGGATAACTTAAAGTAAAGAGGTGAAAATCTCGAACTTACCATTGTTGCTGAATGTAAAGGAATCACTGTCCCTCATTGTGTGATTTCCACTGTCTGATAGCGTCTTGTCTCTCCTGGAGACCACCGGTTTCCTCGTACTTTTCCGTGTGCTGATGCGGATGATCCCGCGCACCAACCGACACTCAGCCTCCTGCTCGTCCATCTTGTGCTCCTCTGCCAGAGAGTTGATGAGCTGGTTAATGGCTCGACTCTTCCTCAGAAACACTGAGTCTGATGTGCATCTCGCCAACTCCTCGATCTGATATTCAGAGTAAAGCTCCAGCAGCTTCTTGGCGATAAGTGAGTCTACATTCTCTTCCCCATCCTCCCAGTCATCAAACCTCAGAGACTCATCCAGAGAGTGGTGGCTTGGCTGTGTGTGACCACTGAGTGAAGCAACATATGACTGAGTTTTTGCTTCATTATCTAAATAATCTTTTGGGCTATCAACTTTTACTCCACCAATGCGGACATCCCCTAACCAGTCTGTTGTGTCTTCTTCTTTCTTGTCCTCTGTGTTCACAGCACGAAGGCTGATTTTCTCCGGTTCATCCTCAGAGCTCTTGTTTGGCGCCAAGCACGGAGCGAGGGTGGAACGCTGGCAGACTCTATACAGGCCGCAGGTAAGCACACTGCACACAAAGGTCCTGCAGCTCCTCTGAGATGCGCAGGGGTTGCAGGTTTGCGTCGCAGAGGGCGGATCAGCCGAGCCAGGGATGAAGCCTATCGTCTCGGACTCCTTTCCATTCGCATCTCTCAGGTGAGCTTTGTGGACGGTCTTCGGCTCTGGCGTTGGAAGCCTGTCTTCCACTGGGTCCACACACCGCTCCTCGTATGATGACCTCTGACTGTTGCTGTGGCTGCGTTCATATTTGTGGCTTCCTGAACTGTGTCTCAGACTGCCAGCGCTGCCAACAGACATGACGAAGTAGCTCAAAAATCTAGACGAGAATGGCAGAAAATTAGGTCAAATAAGGTGAAACTGTTTAATTTAAGTGTTTAATTTGGCAGAGTGATATCAAAGATTACATGAGCAACTGTTTCAACAAAGAGTGAAACTAAAATATCAAGTGTATCACACAACCACAGACATGCCACACATGCACTGAATTTGTTCAAGCCCAAAAGGACAGACTGCAGTGCACGCAATCATGGAGTTGTTACATATCACAACATCTAAACTAACATGGCTGCCAGCATGAGCAAACAAACAGTGCTAGGAGACGAAGCACAAACACCACCAACCTCATAAACTATGCCATTAGATTTTTCTGCTAAATGTGGATCGTTCTCACTAACATGGAGATATTTCTGCTTCAAAGAGGCTGATATTACCAATGCCAAAATGCAGATAGTGTTGGACACTGGTTGCTGATAAAAACAACTTGACAGCTTGATTTTATCATGCAAAATTTCCACCAATCAGATTATGAAGAATATGAAGGAGTCAGATGTTGATCACGACCAATCAAAACAAAAAGATACTCAGGTTTTTGAGTGGTAATGTCAGTTTAAAATGACCTCTTAACAGTTTTTATTGGTCTTAGTGCAATATGTCATAATGTAAAGTTTATGAAATTCAAATTCAAATTTCAACTTTATTTGTATGCCACTTCTCAGACAAAAAATGTAGCTCAAAGTGCCTCACAGAGCATAAAAACCACAACTAAACAACAATAAAACCCGACCCTCCCACACACACAGACACACTCACCCACCCACCCTCGCTCGCTCACCAACACGTACACACACACGCACACACAGAGTGAGAATTTAAGATATACTGTTAAAGAGACATGACCTCAGGTAAGTGCTACCTTTAGGAAATACTGGAGATAAAAGATAAAAAGATAAAATAAAATAAAAATAAATAAATGGTAAAAAGAAAGACTAAAACCTGATGGACCAAAACAATAAAATAAAATAAAGTGAACAAATAAGTAAAAGCTCTTTACCATATAAAAAGGGGTAAAAGAAGTTAAAAAAAAAAATTTAATCGGATTTAAGAAAAAGACTAAGAATAGATATAACTAATAAGATTACATAAAATGAACTTTTAAGAACTACAAAATATTGCTTGCATGTCTGTTCCAAATACTTGCCTTGGTGATTTCAACGGTTTTGTATCATATTTATTTTAATGACACATTTAAGTTAATAAAAAGGACCTGATTTTCTCAGTTAAATTATTTGTATTTTTTTCTTTATACATTTTTGAAGGAATCATCCCAAATTATGGTAAATCAACGGAGAAATCAATTATTATTTTTGGTTAAAATAATATCAGTATACTAAATGCTTAGCCTATCTCCTATTAAATCTGCAAAACAAAATCTAAAACCACTTGTAGCCACCTAAAGGCATCTTCCTTCAAATCACATGTGAAACTACTATCCCCGGGTGGCAGGTGAAGTAACCCAACTGGTTTTGTTAAGGATGTGTGGAACACAAGCAAAGACGATTAATCACATTAAGTTCATTTTGTTTAGCCTATTAGGGCGAAATGGGGAACACATTTTCAGCCTAATTCACTATGTCAAGTGGATTGTTTCAACTGTTGCAAATGACTGCGTGTAGACAGATGACTAGGGTTGTGGTGAAGCAAAGATCCTTCTAGAAATGTTCAAACACTCCTGAACATACAGGCTACTGATAGATTAATGTGAAGAGGGCCTGTGTGTGTTTACAGCTCTCCATGTCGCACCTGTTCAGGTGGTCAGAGGCCACCATTAAAATTGAAAGTCTGACCGTCACAGTATGCCATTTTAGGAAGCGAGTGAGCCCGTAATGTTGCCAAATTAAAGAAAAGTCGATTTCAATCAAAAGTCTCACCTTATACTAGATTGTGTCTAAAATATTGTTGAATTGAAACCTTCACATTCACAACCGAATCCGGTGTTCGCCTTTTTGGCATCTGCTGAGACGAAATGTTTACATTGCTACAGTGGCTACAGCAAACAAACAGAAGAAAACTATCGCTTTTAAGTTTTACAATCGTCAACTACAACGATACAATTGCAAATTATCGTTTGACATTCATAAAGCCATAACTCCTTTAGTGTATAAAGAGGTAATTTCACTTTCATGGCGACCTGTCACCGCGACTCTTTCCTCCATTAGAGGACTTAATACGGACTACTCAACAAAACATTACTCACAGTTCACACGGTGCGTTCACCAGCCGTCCTTAAAATTACAGCAGTCTTCAACACCATGAATTATTTGTGTCAAACCATTCTGAAGTAATACAAAACAAAGCTTTAAAACGCAAGTTTCAGTCGACTTGTCCACCAAATCCGTGTACCTGAGCGTCAAGGTGGAGAAAACGTAACAGGTAGCTCGAAAAACGATTAAACTTCCGGTCATGACCAAAACAATAAAACTCGTGCAGACTGAGTTTTACAGAGTTTTATTGAGAATTAGTATATTTTATTAAGAATTTTTAATCCGGAGTCTGGAGTTCAAATCACAACGCACAGCACCAGCAGTCACCGTATTAATCTCATTTTAGCTAGTTAGCTAGTTAGGGCAGTTAAACATTAGTTCCGATTTCAATTTTGCACATCAGGGAGACCTGGTGTAGTTTTGACATTGCTCCAGGATCCATAAATTTATGTTTTAGCTATAGTTTTTCCTTTTACAAAATTCCTATATTTATCTCCAACTTGAACCAAACTTGGTGAGTTGATGTCAAAACACATCCTGTCAAAATCTGCTACATTAGGTTCTGTTACATGCTAGGATAAGAAGTGATAATTTTAAATGTAAAATCATCATCTTTAAAGGAGGATTTTATGCCAAGATAATATGTGGTAGATAGTTAATAATGTGAAGTAGAATCCAGTTAAGCCCCAATGCAAAGATTTAACTCATAATCAGTATTTTAATAACTTAGCAATTGCAGCATTTTGCACTTCTTATCTTGCACAACAAGCAAGATCTTTAAGTCCGTCAAAAATCAGTTCCTGGGTTTAAACTTGGGCTTTTACGCTTGGACCTTCAGAATTTTCAAAGCCTGTTTCTATAAAAAGGACTGCAGACAGAAAGGCCGTTTCAACAATCTGGCAACATCTACGTCCACTAGATGGCACCAAGACAAAACCAATGTCCTTTCACGCTTCAGCATTTACAAACGCCACACAAGAGGCAAGAGAGGATTTAAATTAATTAATTTATTTTCAAATCATTTAAATCTTTTTTTTCCAGGATCTCTTGCTGCATCTGTAGGAGAAAAAAAAAACACATTTAAAAAAAAAAGACCACACATGTATGAGAACAGTGGGACAACAGAACAATTACTCACCTGCTGGTGTCCTTGAAGTTAAGGTGACTTTATCCTTGACCATCTGGCCTCCTGTTGTTCATAGGACTTAGCACTGACCAAAGGACCCGTTTGGGGCTGTTGTGGCTTCCTTGGGGCCTGTGGTTTGTGGGACACGGTCTGCTCAGCTGATGGTGCTGCATAAGTTTGCTCCAGCTTCATGTTTTCAACCCGTGGCTTATACAGGACAGTCCGTGCTGATGGAGCCGAGTAGGACTGCTGTGGTTTATAAGATACAATACGAGCTGAAGAGGCCATTTGGACCGTCTGTGGCTTCCTTTCATTGTAGACCTGAGGCTTATAAGACACAGAGTGAGCTTCAGAAGCTGTGTGGGTCTGCTCTGGTTTTCTGACATTTTGGAGCAGAGGTTTGTAAGACACAGTCTGAGCTGATAGAGCTGTTTGGGTCTGTTGTGGTTTATAAGATACAACACGGGCTGAAGAGGCCATCTGGACCTCCTGTGGCTTCCTTTCATTGTAAACCTGAGGCTTATAAGACACGGTGTGAGCTACAGAAGCTGCATGGGTCTGCTCTGGTTTTCTGACACTTTGGAACTGAGGTTTATAAGAGACAGTCTGAGCTAATGGAGCAGTTTGGGTCTGTTGTGGCTTCCTGATGTTCTGGACCTGAGGTTTGTAGGATGCATGATGCGCTGAAGTAGCTGCAGAATCCCACGCTGGCTTATTGACACTCTGGAACTGTTGTTTGTAGGACACATCCTGTGCTGAAGGAGCTGTGTATGTCTGCCCTGACTCCACAAAGCTCGGGACCTGAGGTCTATATGATACAGAATGTGCAGAAGAAACTCTGTTGGTTTGCTGGGGCTTCATGGCGCTCGTTTCCTGCTCATCAGGGTTTCTGAGCCGCCTGATAGCATAGCCACCAAACTGTTCAGGGATGTTGTAGGTTCTGGTTGGGGCATAGCGCACACTTCCACTATCCCTGGAGTCTGCTGGGTTGTTATCACTGGGAGTTGGACTTCTGCTCTTCCAAGATGGTTTTTGGTATGAAGAGACACTGCTCGGGTTTTGCTCAGTTGAGGTGTAGCCGAGCCTCTGGTGGCTGGGGTTCTGAAAACTGCGGGGTTGTACACCATTTGGAGCATTTTGGTTCCTAAATGAAAGTGACTGGCTTTGAGTCAGGTGGCTTGAGGGCGTGTTGTACCGATTTGAGGAAATGGTTTCTTTTTTAGTAGAGTAGAGAGTTGAGGGGCGAGGTATCTTGGAGGTTCGATGTATCGACACTCTTCTTGCGGGGGCTGTTGCTGAAGTCTGCATCCGTACAGCGTGTCTCTGTGGTGAAACGGCCCTTGGGCTGAACAGACTGGATGACTTCTGATTGAGAAAATAATCTTTTTGTCCATAGGCTGATTTTACAGATGCAGTACCATGTGTAGCCGATTGGTGGTGGGCCAGTTTGGAGGAGCTTTTGCTAGAGGGACTCTGAGAAGATGCAGAGCTGCTGGACAAATATTTGCTGGTAGTCGGTGTTCTCTGAACTGGCCAAGTTGTTTTCTTGCTGCTATCAGTGTGGTCACTTTTTTCCTTATCGTACTTACTCACAGAACTACCACTAGCAATGGCGGTAGAAAGGCCAACGAATCGTCTTTTGGGCGCATTTACTTGCTTTGATGTAGGTTCTCGAAGTTTAGGCACAGACACTGAGCTGCTCTGCACCAACCTGACTGAGGAGAAGCCACTTTGAGACGGCCGTGAAAGAGTCTGTGAATAGCTGCTACTGGAGTATCCCTGGCTATAAACACTGCTACCTGCAGGCTGTGTGCCAAGGCTGCTTTTCTGAGTCAGGCCTGGAGAAACAGAGGCCTGTCTGAGCCGATTCTGGGGATTGCTGGCACCAAGTCTTTCCAGTTCACTGTCCTGTTGCGAGAAGCCAACATATCCATTGCCGTTCTGTCTCTGGGAGCTTTGAGCTGCAAGAAAGAAAGAGTCAGAATTAAAATTAGAGATGTGCAGATGACACCAAAGCCCCGAAGCTTCTTTTATTTGTGCAAAGTTGTATATTCAATATAATACTCCCATTTTTGGCTGCATATTTACAGTAAATTACTGGCTACTAGTTGCACTACTTTCACAGAAATTTTGATAATTTACTGTAGGTATTTCACACTAATTTACTATGCCTAACTGGTAACAAGCAGCGGTAGAATGAGCCACATTGCCAGACAAGTTTCAGTAATGATTTGATATGATAAAGTCCATTTAGTTGGCCCTTGTGTCCCTATTGCTCCTGAATGGCAATTGTCAAAGGGCTTGGACAATCAGAATCAAGTTTTTTAACACAGCTGATTTTTATTGTAGAAAAGATCAAATCCTCACACAAGTGAGATAATGTGAGAACTTTCATTACATTATGTGTAGGGCTCTCATTTTTTTTATGCCTCTGGATCTCAAAACAAAACACAGGCATCATAGACTTATGCCTCACACATTTGACAAAAACTTTAAATAGAAGTATGGTCTTCAAATTGTCTCTATGTAAGCTGCAATAACTTCTCAAAGCCACTAGATGTCAGTATATTTTCCACAAAAGTTTGAAGCTCCAGAGCTGTAAATCCTTGTTTGAACAAAAAAAGCCCTAAAGCTTGTCCAGGCTTTATTGGCCTATCACTAAGATTAACACACAGTTGATAAATCAAAGAGTCAAATATTAGCAACATTTGTACTCTGCTTACCTTCTGTAGCCCATAAACAGTGCACATGCTTGGCTTGAAGAAAGAAAACCAGCAAAATCCTGCACAGAAATCAAACACAAAAGAGAGAAAAAAAAGAAAATCAAGGTTCAGAGGAAAATGGGACACACTTTTTTGGAAATTGCATTTGCTACTAATACTCACCCCAAATGAACTCCACAAACCATTCTGTGTGTCAAAGCAACAGTAGCCCGACTGCCCTGAAGCTACTTGCTCTGCATGCCTGTGCTGCTGGGAGGTAGCATTTATTTCAGCCTACCTCCAATCACTTGCCAACTTAACAAGCTGATTGCTTACAGGTGCTAGCTTGTGTGAAGTCAGTGTGACACAGAGAAACTCTTTCCTGAGTTTTCCTCTTCTCTTTTCTCACACCTTTCTCTTCAGTCTTGAGTCCCATCCTGAAATTTAGAATGAAAATTTACCTTGAAGGTTTATTTCTACGGAAAATCCCAGCAACAAGGAAAATGTAGGTGCTTCACACTGACCTTAAAACAGACAAAACAGGCAGAAAAGAGGATGTTTAAAAATCATTAAAGCCATTAAAAATAAAAAAGGAGTTAAAGTAATGACTGCAGAATGGGCAGTCAAAAGGCACAATGGAAGCTTAAATATTACAGTTTAAGTATAGCAGTATTTTATAATTAGCTTAATTTAAATTTAAAAAATGATTCAAAGAAAGGAAATAAGTCAGTGCTTTGACTTGATTAAAAGAAGAGAGTTTTAGTGGAAGAAATATTTTCTGGTATTCAGATATCAGATATCAGATATTTGGAGCATTAAATATATTTTATTGCAAACATAAAAAAAATCTCTAAAAGCACTTTGATATTTGGTGCACAGAAAGGGCACATATCTATTTGTACCAGCTTAAGCTGAATAGGATAAATCCACTCAAAACAGTCATATTGTTTACATTTTTGTGCTGTGAGAAGGCGGCCCTATAGCTTGATTGGTCAACACACCAAAACAAGATAGCAACCTCTATCAAGCATCGTCAGCCAACAAGAGAAATATCACTCCTCACCAAAATGGATACATGTCATCACATAGTACCTTTGTTTTTGACTGACTGGAGCTAATCAGTCTCTGAAAATAACCTGTTCCTCTGTGTGGGACAGACAAGCCACTGGAGGGAGCCAAACTGTCCTAAATCAGTGGGTAAATTCAAGATTCCAGTTTAGGACTGAGCTGCTTGCTCAGGGGGGCATGGTCTCCAGGTGAAATGAGCCGTGTCTTATTTCAGGGGCTACAGCCGTCTGAGGCTGCATTTGAAGATCGATCACATCATAGCAACTTATCTAGAGCCATCATATTGAAAGGTGCCTTAAAACACGACTAACAAATATGTCCTACTTTCCCGGGGCTGCATCAGGTCAACCTCCTCTAATCGACATATCCTGTAATTCTTTGCACAGCTTTTAAAATGAAATGAGGTAAAATGAAAAGAGTAATACACTAATAAATGAGAATATTCAATTGCAACTGAAATGTGAAATGGCATACAAATTCAAAGCTAAAATTATCTTTAAATGTTGGCGATAATGGCTAACATATAATTTGCTTGCTTGTTAGCCTGCTAGCAACCCATTGTTTGCTGACAAGGGCAGCACTATGTGGTGCTGAAATGATCTGTATAGTTGTGAGAATTTTTTTCTTATTTTCTGTAATCTAAACCAGTGGGAGTGTCTGGATGTTCAACAGAAGAGGTCCCATGATGATGCCATGGGGAACTCCACATGTAATTTTTGTCTGCCCAGATGTTAAATCACCTAAAGACACAAAGTAGTCCCTGCTCTTTTTGTCAAATTTAAACCAGGTGAGAATTGTGCTGGAAAGTCCCTCCCAGTTCCCCAGCTGGTCGAGTATTGTGGCTTAAAGCAGCACTAAGATCCAGTGATGCAAAGACTGCAAGCAGATGTTGTTAAACCCCTTTATAGAGCAGTCTCAGTGCTGTAACGCTGACATCAAATCACTTTTTTTCCAGTATCAAAAAGTAATTCAACTATTGAGAAAAATATCACACACAACTTTTTATGCTGAGGTTCTCCTTTCTGTATGAAACCTGCCCTTGAAAGATCACGTTACACTTGATGGTCTTGTTAGGATTATTAATGATGCCTCCTGTATCCCGTGACGCTGAATAGACCCAGGCAGCTCTCTGCAATAATGATGCCGTCGACCCTAACCGAGACAAACGGCGCTTCAAGATCAGCCAGCTTTCACCTCCTGTTTGCAGATTATAAATCACACACTATAATACCAACACTGCTATCTCTACAGCAAACATTTCACTTTCATTGAGTTTTTTTTTCCACCCTGATGCATCTGTGAAAAATGATAAGCAAAATGCATTGTGTCATACATGCATGTGAGCTTGATATCATCAGCTTCCAGTGACCATGTGGGACGCTCCACAGGAAAATGACCAATGCTCTGTCAGCGTAGGTGACACACTCACACACTCACATACGCACAGCAAGAGCACACTCCCTAGCAGTCTGGCAGGTGTGAATCTTCATCCTGGACTGTGTTTAGGCCATAGTGCTCATTAATGACATTCCCCGCTGACAGAATAAGAAGGGCCACAGATGAATCTGTCACCCTGTCCTACTTCCCCGAGTACTGAACACTCCCCTTAATATAGTCCACCTCTTAAACCCAGATTTATTGAAATTCACAATCTTATTTTTCATCTTTTTCGCACTTAAGTGCTTAAGCCAGAGCGGGTGATAGCAAATTTCCTCCCCTCAATCGTAGGCAAGGAATGACACCTCGCATGCGATGACCAGATGAGTGTGGTGGCTTAGATCAAAGACACAATTTCCTGTCAAAGGAAATAGCGCAGGGAATTTTCTTGAAGAACAGTTTCCTCCTTTCTGAATTCTTTCCATTATACTTATCAACATTCAAAAGTCTAAAGCGAGTTCGACATCCTGATAATAGACGATTATAGGAGGCAGGCCAATTTCAAACATGTAAACAAAGCATGGATGGGTGACACAGATCAGACACAAGACGAGATCAGTTCATCAAACAAACCCCCTAATGTTAAACTCAGATTTTAATTCAAAACCCACCCGAATCAAGCTCACATCTTCTACCAAGAAACGAAGCAAGTTTATTGCGCTCACCTCTGACCTGTGCACGAGTGGAGAACCCACTCATTTGAGGAGCCTCTGTCCTGTAAATCTCAGTGCCAGGTTCCAGTCTGCACATGAGCTTCCTGCATGCTGAGATAGATTTGTATCTGTATGAGCAGGACCATTAAAGCGGGGTGATGGAGGAGGAAGCAAACACAAAGCACAATTTATGTGCAGAGCTCTGCGGGACAGGGGGCCCTGTGCCTGAACTAGACCAAAACCTGCCAGCTGACTAACTCAGCAACTACACGGCATGATCATAGCATGTATATTCATTCTCTTAATACTTATGTGCATCCTAATCTCTCGTCGAATGAATGGATTTAAATTTTAAATCAAAAAGCAACGGGTGTTCACAAATATGGACAAGGAACTGTGCTGCAAATGATTCTTTGTATTATACTGTCTTATGTGTTTCCCATGAAATGCAAGTAAAGAGGTGCAGTGGTGTGTAATCATAGACTGATTTTGAAGCGTATTCATGAAAAGGGTTAGAAACAGTGTATACTGGGTGGCTAATATCTGTACAAATGATCTTTGTTTTGATTCTGAATATTCACCCTTTGTCTCGTCAGTGTGAGTTATATTTTAAGTTATATCTTAAGTCTAATGTAGGCTAAAGGGGGCTGTTTTCTGATCACTTAAAAAGCCTACATCTTAGGAAGTAACAAAGACTAAACAGGAGCAGAGATGTTGTAAAAGTTGAAGCAAACAGGATGAAATGTCTGAAAGTGTATGCGTCAAGTGCCTGCTGTTTATTTTTTATTTATGCCTCTTGCACTTACTGTTTTATTTTCCCATTGCAGATTAAATTTAAAAGTGCAAAGACATAGTGATAATAGAGCTTCATTAATGTGCTGTCCTACAAAATCTTGGCTTCTGCTACCGTGAGATGACATGGCATGAGCCAATGGGCACTCTGAACAGGAAGTAACAAGTCAAGCAGATAGAAAATACGTAGGGGACACTAGAGATGTGCAATTTAATGTACACACAAGCTCTGCGACGATACTGTCTTAACTGAAAGTGACAAGGTAGTAGGATGCCTGCAGTTAGCACACAGTGTTACTGTGCCATTGGTTTCTCCTGGTGAACCAGTGTTGGTAACTGATTAGCAGCCTGCTAGCTAACTGAGCTAACATCATGACATCATTCACCACAGTTGAAGTTTTCTTCTGAAAAATAACAGTTAGGAATAACTTTTTTTTTGCTTTTGCAAATATTGTACTAAATATGAGAGGGTTTTAGACTTTAATCTTTTTACCCTAGAACACTATCGCCATGTGATTTTCACCCGACCAAACATGTTTGCATGATTTTCATTATGTTGCGTTTGTCTGAGTATCACGGGTCCCTGGGTAGCTTCCGCATTGTCTTTGACATCTTTAAAGGCATATTTGTTTCCCTGATCCACAACCTGCTTTTCCCAACAGGCACGTGTTCAGGTGATTTTCACCCGGCAAAAGTGATAGAGGGTAAAGTAGGTTTGGGTGGATTTGATAGCTGCATGTAGGCGAATAAGGTTGGTAAGAGTGGTCCTGAAATTTGCATGCTATCTTCATTTAGCGCAGTGGTTATGAATAACTATCACAAAGTAGTGATCTTGAGGGAATTCTAAAGGTGATAAGAAATAATTTAGTCAGCTGGTCATTTTTACTCACTCAAAATATGACATATTTTGGTTCTTTCTCCTGCAGCTGCTATCGTGCCAAGGACCCCGAGTTTTCACCAAGGAAGACTCACATGCCCCATGAATGGGTGGAAAAGAAACTAAGTTTACAGTGTCTATATACATATAATTTTTTTTAGGATTTTTTTGTTCATGATTGCCTAATTTCAATAATTTTGTTGCAATTTTATATGGTCCCCTCATGGCACTTTTTTCCCTCCCTTTGGACATTACACAGTTAAAAATAAAAGAAAACTACTTTAATTTGTCATGTATTGTCCGATTTTGATATAAATACTTTTTCTTGGGCATATTATTTCAGGTAAAAATCACTCGGCGATAGTGATGGTGTTACTAATTTTAGCGATAGTGTTCTAGGGTTAAAACACTTCCTCTTCAGTGGTAGGGTTTTATGGCAGTGTTTAAAAGCATGAATTAAATTGACTGAATGAATAGTGCTTGATTTCTCCCCTCATGGCTCTCTTTTTTTAGCTCTCTTTTTACACCCCGTCAACCAGCTTTGTT